TCCCATTTGCAGAATGCTTGGACAGAGAGAGTATAGGAGGGCGGGTCGAAAGCACATTGTCCGACAGTGTGTGATCAAGTAGCGGTTTAGCGCCCAAGGAGTCGTGCCGTGGACGAGTCACGTCGGATTCGTCGGGAGATCGCGATAAGGGTGTTATTGTCCCTGTTAAAATGGTTAGTACCGAAGGACTTAGATCGAAACCAAGGGTTGGAGATCTGTCCCTACCTAAATCCGTGTTTGCCCGTAGCTGGTTCGATGGCATCGCCATCGCCGGAGGAGTCTTTGCGCCTTCTGACAATGCATCCCCATTTGTTTTGTCGAGGTCAAGGTAATCGGGTTCTTGCAACGAAGGGGGAAGATCCGGCTCGCTCTGGGCTCTCGGGCTGGCTGCTGGAGATACCAACGGTGAGGTCTGTAAGGATGCGGGGATGTCATCGGTCGTTTCAAAGACGAAGAATGCCTCGCCCGCCTCTCCCAGTTTCATGGCATATTCTTGTTTGATTCCATTCACCTTGAACTCCACCTTCTTCTCAAATGGACGTAAGAGCGAAAACTTGCCAAACCGGACATGAAATGGTGAACAAGCGAGGGTGCCTTGAATGAGAAAAGCCAAATTAGTATCATTCGTGAATACCACCTCTCGAAGAAATATAAATACCATCTTCTTGCTCTATGACAATGACATCAATAGCCCCGCTAAGGGTGGCCGGGTTGATAGAATTCCATGTCTTGGAGACGGAACCACTTATAGAGCGATAGAGCTGCATCCCGTCGAATGGTGTCTAGCACCTCTGACAGTGGCTTTGGGTAACGTTTCAGGCCAATCCGAAGCAAATTCTAGATATCAAGAGAGGCAAAAAAAAAAGGTCTAAACGGTCAAATAAGACTGAGACAGGTTTTTGGAGAATCGGGAAGTTAATCCTCTTGGCCCATGTGACTGACACTTTGAGATAAGTGAACGCGGCTACATAACCACCGTCACGGGACAATATCAGCACAATATCAGTGATGAAAATGAAGTTATGGAGTGTAAGTCTGATGAAGGAAATGCATGTAATTTATTCCGCATTACCCCGTACTATCCAACATTTGTTGGTTTCGTCAACATTCAACGCCCAACAATTCTGATTACATCAGCCTGGGGGAATGCCGAGGTCCCTTAGCGGCTGATCTCCATTTCGGCGCTAAACTACTTTTGGGTGGCTAACATTCTAGATCACGTGCTTCTATCCCACCGCCCACTCCAAGCATTGCGGCGATCCTTCGCAATTCTCCTGTATCCCGCTGCCCGCGTCCAATGGGTTACAGACGTTGGGATGTATGAGCCGCTATACTTTTCATTCGACGCTTACCCAGCAGTGGTCCCCCGCGTGAGAGTGCGAGGCGTGATGGCCCTCTTCCTCGCCGTCTCGATATTGTGGGCTTTGATCTGGTTGGTCCCTTGCCTGCTCTAGCGTTTTCTTTGCTCAGCTGACCAATGTATGAAGGCTTCTCTATCGTGCCTGGCAAGTCTGTCAGACTTCAAATGAGGTTCTAGTTGAAAAACTTGGTCTCGACATTCCTCCGCCGCCAGAGGTCACCCTCGAAGAGATCACAGCCCGTGAAATCCGCCTTGCTTGGAAACAGCCCGACTTCCACAACTCAATACATAAGCATATCATTCAGGTTAATAATGTGAAAGGTATACTATAGAATTGCTTCTTTCCTCTCACTGAGCAAAGCACTAACCGTCTATAGTCGGTGAATCCAAACGAGCAGAAACAGCGGTGGAAATATCAAATCTATTACCTGGGAACATCTATCACATTTGTGTTCTTTCCGTTAGTGCCGCCAACTTCCAGACTCCCAGTGCGATCCTCCATGTCCGAACAAAATCTCTTCCGCTATCCGAAGCCCAACAAAATGGCAACGCCGGGGGTCCAATTATCCGCGCCTCGATCCCCAGGTCTACAGTCGGCCTGCCAACGCCATCTGCCCCGATAATGTCACGCGAGCATAGTGCAGGCCAATTACCGGGGAAACGGCCCTCGGCGGGACGGAAAATTTCGCCCGCGACTGGAACCACGGACGTTTCACACGGCAATTTCGAAGAAACATTCAAGAGCAGAGCAAAAACTGCCAAAGATGAGACTTTGGAGCAATTAGCAGACCGCCTGAAGTCGTTACAGCACGAGAACGAGAACGTGGAGAAGCAGGGGGCAGAGGAAGAAGAAGAGCATATTGCAGTGCTGAAGGACCTTGAAAAACAGCGCAGTGAATTGCGGAAGCGCGTCAGGGAGAAGGACGAAGCAAGCGGCGATTTGAAAAAGCATGTCTACAAGTTAGAAAGCGTCAACCGAACTGTGCAGGGTGAAAAGTCTAAGCGCATGAGACTCCTTCAGCAAAAAGAGGCGGAGCGCAAGAAGCGCAAGAATGACATCTTGCGATGGCAGGAGAAGATTTCACGCATGAACTCTGATGCTCTACAGGCGAAGGATGACAAAGCCAGGATTGAAGAAGAAGGGAAAGTGCGCGCAGATGAGGTCCGAGCCAAGATCGCGAAAGAGCAGGGAGAGATGAAAACCATCGATGATGAGATTCAGGATAAAGGAGGACGGGTTAAGAAGCTAGAAGAAGAAAGAATGGGATTACAAGAAGGCGATAGTGAAGACGGCAAGGAGTTGGATCGAATCGACAACGAGCGAGCTCGTCAGTGGGAGCATAAGCTGGGCAATCTACATGCACGTTATGCCACACTTGTGACACTGCACGCGCAAGCCCAGCAACAATATCAAGAAGCCCAAGAACGCCTAAAGTGGCTTACAGCTCAACGACCCGGCAGCTCAGGACCCTTTGCCTTCCCGACCTTGGATCTCGATATGTCGAATACTGCCACCATTCGGCCCCGTCGCCATCGCAGCTCACTAAACAGCAATGTGTCTTCCCCTCTGAACTTCCCGGGTGTCGAAACATTTTCAAGTAGTATCAACTACAACCCGTCCGGTCACTCACCTACATTCGCACCGAGCTCTGCATTTTTCAACATCAATAACGGCATGGCCCTTCCAGGCCTGTCTGATCCCCCGGAGATCATGCGCTCAGATACGGAAGTTGCTTTCAATAACCCGCAAATGAGTCCCCGTGCGGATGCCCTCTTGCCATCTGATCTCCTTGGTGACGAGGAATCGCCAGAATTCCCACGGTCTATAACTCGACCAAGATTTGCAACTATGGAAGCATCCAGTACTCCGCTGGACAGCTTCGGCCACGGGCCAGTGTCGCCTGTTTCTTCGGACAGTCGAGCCGGCAGTATATTTGCCAGCCCATTAGAGAATCAAAATCGACAGGACGAATCCCAAGGTGTCCATTTGTCTGCTGCTGGGGATGCCCCGAAAAGCGCATCCCGAAAGCTTTCTGGACTTTTCGGTTTCCACCGGCCTCGTGGGAAAACCCTGGCGGATGAATCTCCTATGCTGGGTAGTTTGAAACCCGGCCAGAGTCAGTCCTTCCCTCGCAATATTGATGAGCTGGATCCAATCGGTGCACGCCGGCGACGATCAAGCTATACTGGCAACTGGGCAAACCCGATGTCATTGTTCCCTCGAAGCAACACGGCCGGTGTCACCATGGACAGTTCTTCTGATCATGCGCCCTCCCGGCGAGCTGCTTTCTCGAATATCTTCTCATCCAGCAAGTTTGGCTTCGGTGGTGCTGGCACCCATGGGAATGCCGATCTTACCAGTGGATACAATCAATTCAGTCCTCGACATGATCCTATTGATCCATCATCGCTTCTCGGTGGTGTTCGACGGGGTTCTCTGTCCCCCCGACCTTCGTCGACCTCATTTGACACACCGAATCAGCTTCCCCACCCCTCGACGGACAACCGCCATTTCGGGTGGCCATCGACTGAGAATGCTGGGCACCGCAACAGCCCACTTGGATTCGACTGGGCCGCGCCATCCAATTGGTCTCGAGCCCCTTCTCGGCGACCTTCAATCCAGTATGGATCGTCGGGTCATCTTCCTCTCGGCCTAACCGGCGAGCCTGATTTCGTGGAGGACACATTTGACCGCCATCATCGACCCCTCCAGGCGCCGATTGGCACCCGCCCGTCATCTTCTCATCGACCGCTGACTCCAAAACTGAATCCCGCTGCTCCCTCATTCACGGCGGTTTTCACGGACGAGAAGCCGGAGATGGACACAGGCAAGGGCAATGATCCTGGCAGCCCATTTGATCTTCACGAGTACGATGGTTCTCCCTCGGAGTCTCGCACATCTCGCTCCATCTCCCTTTTCACTGGCGATTCATATGAATCATTGGAGCGCATGCCATCGGGGACTTCCATGGACAATGCCTCTAAGGAGTCGTTTATTCGCAAGATCACGCGCAAGGGCAGTTCCAGCAAGTTCAGCTCGTGGAAAGATCGTTCGGGCCTTTTCTCTAAGAAAGGTGAATCCTCGCAAGGTGATATTGACGAGGATGCGGCCAGCGAAGCGCAGCTCGGCAAGAGTGTTGATAGCACAGTCTCAAGTGTGACATCCGCCGACCGCTCAACCCGCAGCAGCCTGGGATTCTTTTCTCGCAAGTCCCGTAAGTCTGACAAGGCCAGCGAGACTAGCGAGCGAGCCAGTGAGACTGGCGATGAAGAGATTCCTGAGGAGATTGAGAAATCATGATTCTCACATGTATCTATAGACCATTTTGGTTCTGTCCTTTCACTTTCATTTCTTAGATTCTACAGCATCTCCCTAAGGGTTTTTGATAGGCATCTCAACAGCATACTGGTTTTTATTTACTTTTGATTCATAGTACCTGAATATCTCTAGATGATGTAGTAGTCTGTGGTCTTTATAGAAAATTATTGTATCATTTTTATCCATCAATCGCTCCCAAGTCCTCAAAATCAAGAATCCCTCCAGTTGGGGCAAATGCGGGCGGGCAGAAATCGCACAAAATGACCCTTCCATTCTCCAGAGCTATTCATCACCTAACGTCAAAGTCTAGTAGATCATACAATGGCGAACTCAAGGTAAGCGTTGAAAAATAAAATAAAATTCAAACTGCCTACTAAAAGAACACAGATTTGAGTACGTCAAGTCCTTCGAGCAGCCGGACGTGCTGCTCCCCAGTACGTGGATTGTGGTCCGCATTGATGGACGAGGATTTCACAAGTGAGTCTTCATCTCTTGTTTCTTGTGGGGACGCCCTATGCATGAGGAATCTTCATGCAGGAAGGGAAAAAACGGCATCTATATGACGGTCTTCCTATGCATAGCTTTCACCAAGATGTGACTGCTCTTCTGGTCCAACAATGCATTTATCTCTACATTCAGAGTCTAACACATACAGACTCTCTGATCACTACGCTTTCAAGAAACCAAATGACCGCCGGGCACTGGATCTGATGAATGCTGCGGCAGTTGAAGTCATGAAAGAGCTTCCAGACCTATGCATCGCCTATGGAGTCAGTGACGAATTTAGGTATGTTTCAACTCGTTTCATCACTATCCTCGCAATCATTAACAGTACTCCCTCAGTTTTGTCTTCCACCCCAACTGCCAACTTTTCGAGCGGCGTAATGGGTGAGTATTTCCTCTTTGCTTCTATCTCCTGTGATATAATTTGCAAGAACAGCCGTTGATAGGACCACGCCATCCAGAAAACTAGTGACTACCATCGTCTCTACATTTACAGCACACTACATTTACAAATGGAGCGAGTACTTCCCTGAAAGACCTCTCTTGCCGCCGTATCTGCCATCTTTTGATGGGCGTGCGGTCATCTACCCAAATAACCGAATTCTCCGCGATTATATGAGCTGGAGACAAGTTGATTGTAAGTGACATTTGTCATGGTGATATGCCTCGCAATGCCCCTGATTTCAAGCCCCATCCGGCTAACCCAAGACGACTAGGTCATATCAATAACCTCTACAACACGACTTTCTGGACAATGGTTCTTCAGGGTGGAATGAGTAACACAGACGCCGAGCAAGAGTTAAAGGTTGGCCATTATTCTTCCAATTTGGAGTACGGGCAATTGACTTGATATCAGGGCACTGTGTCTGCCGACAAGAATGAGATTCTCTTCAAGCGGTTTGGAATCAACTACAACAACGAGCTGGAGATCTATAAAAAGGGCACTGTTCTTTACCGCCAGGTATGTGCCCAGTTTATGCTGTCGTTCTTTCGTCTCGACTCGTTCTAACATTTCTCTCAACAGTACGAGCTGGAGGAACCTAACCCTACAAACCCACCTGCATACGAAGAAACACCGATAGTCGAATCTAAGCAGTCAAGGTCACAGCAAGACAAGATCCGCAAACTGCGCCGGAAAGCACAGGTCGTGGTTGACCATGTCGATATCATCAAAGATGAGTTTTGGGAGAAACGCCCGTGGATTCTATCAGGCAATCCTGGGAAATTACCCGCGTAGCTTAGCTCCAACACAAAAGAGAAAGATAGACATTTACATTTCCTATGGTTGCAATAGGCATGATTTCGCCAAACAAAAAGGGTATCTTGGTTTCTAGATGGCGTAAGAGAAAACAGGTATATGCAGAATTGTGTACATGGTCCTGACATGCATGTGAAGCGCTCCAATATCAAAATAGTCACAAATGGACAACATCAGGCTTTGGCCTCCTTCTTGTCCTTCTTCTCCTTTTTAGACTTCTTTTTTGAGTCACTCCCTGTGCTCCTAGCCTTCTTGCTCTCCTCGTTTTCCTTTTTAGCCGCCTTCTCCTCTAACCGCGCAACAGCCTCATCTGTCTCCGTAGTCTCCGCCCCAGTCTGATCGGATTCCTGGTCAATCGACGTAGGCGTTGGATATTCATCCTCAGAAGCAGTCCGCTTCTTCTCCTTCAAAGCCTTCTTCGCAAGCTTCTCGGCAATCTTCTTCTCCTTCTTCTCGGCCTTCGCAGCTCTCTTCACACGTCTCCCCTCCTTCCTCTCCGCCTTCTCCGCCTTCCGCGCAGCCTTGGCCAGCTTCTTAGCCTTGCGATCAAGGCCATCATCCTCATTCTCGCGCTTACGCTTCGACTTGGAGGTAGAAGTGCCGCTCTCGTCCTTTTTCTCCATCCCCTCAAGCGTACCAGCCAGCCCATCACCCCTCACAAAATGCCGATAAAGTTCACTCGTCAGCGCATTGTTCTCTCGCGCAGAGGTAGCCTCGAAACTGTCGTTCCCGACGCCCTTCAGGGCATCTTCGAACCCGCGCAGCCACCACTGGTTCGTCGGGTCTTTGGTCGTCTTCTTGCCCACGCCGTGGTTGTTGGCTTTGCGCGATACGAGGAGCGGTCGTGTGAGGCCTAGTCCGCTATGTGCACCGGGTCGTTTGTTTGGGTTCAGCGGGTTGCCGGGGCCGGACCAGCCGTGCTTGATTAGGTAGGCTTGGGCGTCCATTTTGTGGTGTGGTGTGTTCGCCCTTGGAGTGGAGGGTTTGGGTGGGCAATGAGGTTTGATTTTTGAATCTTGGATATTGCGGCTGGGATTTTGGTATGTATATTGTGGGATTGGAGGAAAGGTAATTCCAGGAAGTTGGTCCCTTGTGCCTGGAGAAAAGTTTGATACGAAAAAAAATATTAGAGATAAGATTTGACACCTCATGGATCAGGCTGAAATCTAAGGGCTCCCGGTCATCCCGGGCGCGACTACTACATTTTGTTTTATACTCTTCAATTCGAGACAAACAGCTTTGATTTATTTTTGGAGATCCAGAAAGAGAATTCCATCTCGAATCGTGCATGCATAAATTGGGTTCAATTGATATTGGTCAGAATGGAAGTGGTTCAAACTTTTCATATATACCTTAAGAGAGGCCATAGGCTGGAAATATATAACTTACATACTGCCAAACGAACAACCAACGACCAACTTATTCTACACACAACAATTCGAATAATGACGACATAACCTCATATGATTCAAGTAACTATCTATTTTTACCCACACCCCAAACACCGAATGATACACAACAGACTGTCAGCAACAGATGCATTCACCCGTTCACAGTACACAGACTAGTACGGCTTGAACCTATCCTTCTTCTTCTCCTTCGGCCGAGCCTTTGCAGACCCCGACTGGACTGGAGCATCACTTCCTTCAGCAGGCTTCCATGCTCGTACGAAGCCATCCTCACCACAGGTGAAGACTGATTGACTCTGAGGAGGTAGTTGGATTAGCGAGGGTTACAAACAAAAGCCGAAAACAGGCAACCAGATACAAGAAACATTCCCCGAAAGACGTACCTGTTCATCCAAATATACCGAGCGCACAACCTCCTCGCAATGAGCACGGGGCAAGCGCCACAGATTATCCCGGTCCAGCTTCCACGACGGGCTGGAAACGAGTGGGACAAGATCGAGACGGTTGTCACTGCAAGACATTAATTAGCAAACACCCACAAGCTCACAAAAAACCGAGGAAAAAAAACACAAGCACAACAGCACGTGTGTGTGCCATGCCTCCATGCCTCTTCCCAGTACCGAAACGCCAAGAAAAAAAAAAAGATAAACAAGAAACTTACATCTTATTCCCAGCGGCGATATACGGTCCCTGCGCACCGACACACAGCTGCGCAACATACTCGCAGCCCAGCGGGTCGCGCACATCACCGAAGTGCACGGGGTCGGGCTCCTGCGAGGCATCGTCTGGGTCTGTGGCCGGATACACGGAGAAGTGCTCGTCATGGCTGAGGGCGAAGATCGTGCGCTCCGACAGGAACCCGGCATGATGTACGGAGCCATGGTTGATCACTTGCACCAGGGCTTCGTCTTCGTCTGTTACGGTCGTATCGTAGATGTTCACTAGTCCGTCCGTGCTGCCGGAGAGTAAGATGTTGCTGCGCGTCGGGTGATATTGGAGCTGTGTACCACCGGCAACAGGCAAGGTGCCGATGTAATGGTTAGTCTGGCTGGTGCTGCATGTAGGTATTGGATGGTAATGGTGGGGTGTGTTGGGGGGAGTCGGGCTTAGAATGGAGGTACACTTACCTCGGTGATATCGTCGTTGTGGCTCTCCACATATTGGAGGCGGAATTCCTGGGGGGACCGGATATCCCTGTTTGTTGGTTAGTGGGACTGCGATTTGATGATAGAGCACGGCTGTTTTTGTCTTGGGGTTGGAAGACATATCCCAATACAATTATCGAATGATAATGCTGGAGCTATTCAAATTAAAACCGAAGTATAAGATGAAACCTACCAGAATGCAACAACCGCCTGTGAAGAGACCAGCTCCGTTCCCGCAACAATAGCGTTAGTCTCTGGGTTACAAGCCACAGACAGAACAGGCGACTTTTTCGCTAGACACAGAGACCATGTATTAGCAAATATGCATTTGATCAAGGCAAACCCCCAAGCCAGGACCGCCCTTGAATCCAGGCGCCGATAAATTCTCCGAACACCAGTAACAGCCCACCGGAAATGCAGCAGCAAAACCTAGTGTATGGGCCCTTGTCACGGCAGGTTCCCGAAGACAACCCAAACGGGAGATGCATTAAAACCAAAAGGGAAACCCCCCAAAAAAGCTTAACCAAAAGAAACTCACTCGTTTCCATCTCCACAACCGGACTTCCATTCCCAGTCCGAACATCCCAAACCTTCACCTTCCCATCACGACCACCCGTTGCCAGGAGGTGCGACTCGCCCATGGTGAAGCTCCGCAGCACGGTGACACCATTGTGAGCAGCGTTCGAGACCACAGACCCGCGATCGAGATCGGCGGCGTCAAACACACGCAGCGAGTCATCTGACGAGATGGCGGCGAAGGTCCCCGGCGCCGATGGGACGATCGAGTAGATGTAATTATCTGCCGGTAGCGACAGTGTTGATGACGCTACTGTTTTGAGTGTATGCATTGTGGAATTTGGGGGCTGCACCCGTGCGTGGATTTCCCTTTGATACTGAGATATTTGATCTCTGGGGGGTGACGCCGTGGCTGACGCGAGGGGAGGGGCGATTAATTCCGATTAAATGTCCCCGATGAATGTCCCCGATGAATGTCCCCCGATCAATGTCCCCGCGTGTGTTAGAAGATATTTGAGTTTTATGTATGATTGCGCGCGTAACAATTTAATTACTTGAGGTTCGGACATATGGAGCTTGGGAATTTTTTCCAGGTGGGGCTCCCAATATTCGCGATGTACGGTGTACAATGTAAAATGTACGGAGTGGTTTACCAATGTGTCTACCGAACTAGTATATAATAGTTCAGATGTAAACGATCCTCTGTAAAATCCCAAAATCCTAAAGGGGACCTCGGGATTTGTGGAGGAAAAACATTGAATGTACAATGTACGCTAGATGTTTAGTCCCAACAATGCACTGCTAAACCCCCATGAGCTGTCAGTACCGGATATCCCTCGAGTCGGCGACCTTAAACCCCGGAAAATTCAGCGCGGCAAGCGCCAGATCTTGGATATCCAAATATTCAAAATATCCGTCGTATATACAAAGTATGTACCATGCAAGGAGAGACGGGGTTTGCTATGACTATAAAGTACAAAGTAGAACTAGTAGATCCCGAATCCCCGGCGAAATATGTAATATGAATTAACGGGGAAGTAGGAAGCCAACCCTAATGGGAAAAGACCATGGATTATTATTAGGGAATGTTGACACGTATAATGTCATACGGAGTACTCCGTATAAAAAAAGAAAAAAAAGAATAAAATGGCTCCAGTCACGACCCAGCACAATGGTCCGGTGTTAGGGTCATTCTTACATATCACAAAAGACCCAAATGATTAGAGCCAAGGTGCTAAAGTGCCAAGTGGTATCCCACTTGATTCGCTCAACGGTCCAACCCGGGGATTTGGGTTGCGGTGAGAGGATTTTATTTTGGTTTAGACGTAGAATATTGTGTGACGATCGGACATACATATTCCCTAGAGATAACAACACCGTACGCTCTGTACTTCGTACCCGAGAAAAGCCACGATTCTACCCTAGCGCCTTACCAATCTGTTGGGCCTTATCCTTCCCTGGAACTGGCCCAGACGGACCGCATCCCGGGGCGTGGGTCGATGTCCACTCTTCTCTTCAAGTACATCTTATGTTATATACCCAAATCCCTAATTGGTTTAGCTTCCTGGAAATATGCAGGTATATATATATGTATATATATATGATAAAATACAGAGAGATATATAATATAGAATTCTTTTATCAAAAAAGTAAAAAAGCACACTAAATTCCCAGCAGCGCGGTTCGTTTCCCATTTAGTACATCTGCAACTTTCTGCACATCCCCTCTTCCTTGTTTCTCTCTCTCTCTCTCTCTCTCTCTCTCTCTCTCTCTCCCTCACTAACCCCCACTACAGGGAAACAGCTTCACAAACTTAAAAGCCCCTTTACCCCTGGAGCTTTGGTTCGAAGCTATACACCATTTATCCTGTTTGCATTGGAGCGTCTCGGAGATTCTTTTTTATTTGACTGGATCTGGATCATTGATGGCAGATATCAACATGTCTTACAGAGAATCTTCCGGTTCCCTTCCTGTGCCTGACCGCACATCGCTGCCACGAATGTTTAATGGGGATTCTAGGCTACGACATCTGCCTCCCATTACGTCTCCACCCCCACCCAAACGATACAAGTCCGAGTCAACCCCAGCGAGTGACGCCGGTCAATCGCGATACTACTCGCACTCGGTGATGAGTGATCGAGCCCGGTCACGACAGCCGTCTTCCGCGATGGACCTGTACACGCTGATCGATAGAGATCCAATCGATACAGATCCTCGCAGGAACGGTCGCTTTACTAGCCATGGATCGGTAGCCACACAGGCATCCCACACGTCGAATACATCTCAAGTCTCGCGATCATCTCCGGTCGTAATGTCCGATCGCAAGTACGTCACTCCCATACCTCCCATACTCCATACAATGCAAATGACTAACCGTCCGAACAGGATGCCCGAGAAATACCCGAATCACATCGAGAACGGCCGAGTGTACCATGGCTATCGGAAAGGAGTCTACCCGCTTCCGTGCGACGAGGAAGAACAGGACCGTCTCGACATATTTCACAAATTGTTCACGGTGGCACGGGCCGAGGATGGCTTGATATATGCACCACATCCCCCGGGGTCTCGAATTCTCGACTTGGGTTGTGGAACGGGTATCTGGAGCATCGAAGTGGCAAACAAATATCCCAATTCCTTCGTGGTGGGGGTGGACCTGGCGCCCATACAACCGGCCAATTTCCCAAAGAACTGTGATTTCTATGCCCCGTTCGACTTCGAGGCGCCCTGGGCCATGGGAGAGGATTCATGGGACATTATTCATATGCAGATGGGATCTGGCAGTGTTGCAAGTTGGCCCAGTCTCTACCGACGAGTCTTCCAACATCTCCGGCCGGGCGCTTGGTTTGAGCAGGTTGAAATTGATTTCCGGCCTCGCGTCGAGGACAAGGATGGCGAACCGGGACGCGCTATGGCTAGCTGGTACTCGACCTTGAAGCACGCGACCGAAGCTACCATGCGGCCCCTGGCCCACAGCTCGAATGAGACGATCCGGAATTTGCAAGAAGCGGGCTTCACCGAGATCGACCACCAGATTGTGGGACTGCCGATGAACCCATGGCATCCCGATTCCCACGAGCAGAAAGTTGCGCGCTGGTATAATTTAGCTATCTCCGAGAGCGTTCAGCCATTGTGTTTGGCTCCTTTCAGCCGGGTTCTTTCTTGGTCTAGGGAGCAGATTGACCGCATTGCATTCGACGTCAAACAGGAAGCTTTCGACAAAAAGATCAAAACCTACAACCTTTTGCACATTTACCAAGCGCGAAAACCCGAGGAATAAGCTGAATTATACCCACATGGCAGTCGACTAAAAAAAAGGCAGCTCCTTCATTTTCGAAGGTGATGTCGATAATGCCTTTATTGCCCTAAAACTACACCCGCTTGATCCTCAGATTCAAAATAGACCGGGTTTCATAGACTTTGGCTGGCCCAGAGTGTGCACTTGCCACGTTGACGTTGAATGTGCTTCTGCTGCAAGTGCAATTAGATCTCGCTCCAGAGCCAACGAATTTACAGCACAACTTTTATGATTTTTTGTTTTATTCGAGGTCCAGGCATGAGAACTGAGATATCATCTCAAACAGCCGACAGGACTATGAACCTTGTTTTATGACTTCTTAAGAGGTTTGGGGGATTTATGGCCGACACGATGTATGCGCCCACGGCCCTCTCGGGGTCATGACTTTTCTTCTATACTCTACTCTATCCTTTTCCTTTTCTTTTCTCTTTGCATGCTGGACTTTGCATCTTGAGGCGTTTTGGGCTTTCAGCCAAGGATTTCGCTTATATATAAATATACCCAGGTTACCCGTCTTCCTATAGTCTCTGACACTTTCCATTTGCTACCTGCATGTCAAGTCAATATGTTTCTGTGGAATCAACTTTTGCTCCTGGTACTCTTCTTGAATATCTCCCCTACCTCTTTCCTTATTTCTTATACTCATGCCCCCTTGTATTGTTTCAATTTCGCTGAGACGTAGCAGCATTTGGAAGACTGCACACGCAAGTCTAGTTCGACACTATCAGACGTGGATTCTACTTGTTTTTGCAACTACTGCCGTTGAACTTTATATAAAGATAAAATTGAGTCTTAGAACGATATACATGTCTGTTGAATATAGTAGCACCTGGATCATTCTAATCATCATGACCTGTCTGCTTGTGGATGCATTCATTCGCTGCAGCACGAGATCAAACAAAGCCCAGAAGCTTTTGCCCCCAACGCCGGATTGCAGACCATCAGCCCCTAAAATATGAACGCCACCGTATGCAAAATATGCTAGTACAGCCCCCCAACAATGGAGATGCAGGTAGAAAAAGGAAAGTACAGCACACACAAACCAAAAAAAAGAAAGACATGCCTACTATCGTCGCCGATTCCTAGTAGTACCCCTCGAAGCCCCATTAGTCGTAGGCTTGTCCAAATCCCCATTGACACCCTCCCTCCCAGCCCCAGGCGTCCTTCGTCGCATAGTCCCTGGCCCAACAGCAACAACATCCTCACCAGAATCACTGTCCTCAACATTCAGCAAGACAGGTAGATTAAACGGCTCAACGCCATCACCATCCCCATCTCCCTTGACCGAATCAAACGTCAGAGCATCCGGTACTTCATCCTCCTGATCCAGCCGTCGCTGATGTACCTGCTCGGCCGGGTGAACATCGAACTCATCCTCCGCCTCCATGTACTCGACATTCTCCTCAACCTCACCGAAATCAGGCGCCAGCGCCGACCATTTCTGCGGCGACACTATCGACCACGTGTATATGCATCCGGTCTCCAGCCCGCACGCCACAACCATCGGCCTGCTCGGGTGCCACTCCACAACGCCGAGCTCCTCTCGCGGCCCCTCTAGGATCTTGACCAGTGACCCGTGGCTGCGTTCCCACACGTAGATATCAGGGTTCATGAATGTTGTTGCGGTGACGAACTCGCCGGTCGATGAGAATGTTACATGGTTCCAGCTGAGCCGATTGACCACGTCTTGAAACTTGTGCTCCACGTGCAGTTTTATCGCAGATGGTTCCAGGTCGATCCCCAACTGTGATAGGTCTGGCATTAGCACCGTGCGGATTACGCGGTCCGAGCTATTGACTAAGAGGTCGCGCCCATTGCTGGCTAGACGGAGGAGGATCACTACTCCGTTGCAGAGGCGCATTGAGTGGATTGTGGTGCAGGTTTGTGTTTCGATTATGTTGATCCAGCCTTTTGAGGTGCCGGCGATTATGTGGTTACCGAAGGCTGTGAAGATGGTTACGCATGTTGAGTGCTTGGCATCTTGCGCTGCTTGTTTGGCCGCTACGGCTGGGTCGACTTCTTCGTCTTTTGAAGCTTGTGGTCTGAGGGGGGCGGAGGGAAGGATTCGTTTGATTGGTTTTGTACTGGAGACGTCTACCAGTACTGGTTGGTCTTCGAAGAGGGATGCGACGAAAAGGAGACTGGGTAACAGAATAACAGAATAAGTTAGATGATGTGACTTTTGACAGATAGTGGGGGGAATTGTGGTAACTGTACTGGTTGAACGGGTGTAGCTCGGCGATGTACACTGGCGCTTCGAATCGGACTGTGCGGATTCGTGAGCCATCTTTGAGATCCCAAAGAATGCATTTCCAGTCTTGGGATGAGGTGAGGAGGTATCGGCCATCGCGAGACCAGCTGGGTACGAAGTCAGTATTTTGGGAGTTCAATGTAGATCGGTGTGTTTAGTCTGGGGTAATTGTACCTCAGAGATTGGATCTGTCGCGTGTGGCCTTGCAATTTGCGCGCTACGCCATTGGTTTCAATATCGAAGATCACCACTGTGCCATCCACCTAGAGAATTTCTTAGTCTTCAAACCATTATATGTAAATGGCTTTTTGGGTAGTGGGTTCACGAACTCGTCCGGAGGCAAGGTAATCGCCTTTGTGGTTGAAGCTTAAACATGTCGCATGACCGCTGCCTATATCGCGTTGACTCGGTCAGTGTCTTCATTGTCAGCAAGTATGGGTGGTACATACTCAGCTTCTCAGTCAAAGTATCCGGGTATTCCTGCGCCAGGACAAATGGATCGACGAGTGAGAGATTCATCGCGCTAGGTGCTATGGGGATGATAATTTGAATTCAAAGTGAATCCTCAGCCTGTCAGATAGGCCAGGATGATAACTGGTGTTCAAGCATCCAGTGTGAACTCCAGATATAGCTTTTTGCGTAGCGACAATAATCCTATTTCCTTCTGCCGGTATCGATATCCTCAAGAATCTAGAAGGTCCAAGGCGGTGACAAAGCCCATCTAAAACAAACTCAGGTCGATGCCTGATAATGATGCCTGCACCATTCACCGCTTTCATTCACCATAGTGAACTGGTACATTAAATTCTGCCGCTGCCTGCACTTTGGGGAAGGTATCCACCAATTTGCCAAAGCGGTGAGCTCCCGTTTAGACGGCAACCATCGTGCAGGGAAAACTCAAGCCCCATCACAGTGAGGCGATCTCAGAACATCACCCTTTCATCTCCCCGACACGCCCATCCACCCACCGCCTCCACAATCTAGGAGGATCGCGCTTTCCCCATCGCGATACTTCTTTCAAGTTACCGCGACGATCTTCTTTGCCGCGCTCTCCTTCTCCTTCTTTTCTTCTTCGTGACGTTCGGGACCTCTAGGTCGCCGGCGCCCTCGTGGCAAGGGCTGCCCAAGGCCTCAGCCGGCCAGCTGCTTCCACACCACCTTCTTTTCATCGCCGCTACGTGTAAATCTGACTTCTAGCTTGCGAGCAAGTCTGTCACTTTCTTTTTTTCGCGACATTTACGACCCGACATTCGTCGTTTACACCGGTTTTACGACACGCCTACGTGACCGGTCATCTCCGCCTTTTTTTCATCCTCATTTTTTTGTCACTACAACTCCGCCATCATGTCTAACGTGTTTTTCCCTTACTCTAAGGCGCCTTTGCGCACCATTAAGGAAATTCAGTTCGGTCTCTTTGCCCCCGAAGAGATCAAGCGCATGAGTGTGGTTCATATCGAATATCCAGAGACACTGGTGAGTAACTCTCGATTTGTTATCGGCTGCATCATTTTCAGCCATGGTTTTTCCTTCCTGTTCGCGATGACGACTTGATGGCTAAATGAGAATAGGACGATCAACGCCAACGGCCTCGGACTAAGGGTATCAATGACCCTCGCCTGGGTACCATTGACCGTCAATACAACTGCGAGACTTGCGAAGAGGGTCCGAAAGAATGCCCTGGACATTTTGGTCACATTGAGCTCGCGTCTCCAGTGTTCCATATTGGTGCGTAACAGATTTGCCTCGGTTTCCTCCTTTCGTCTTTTCTGTTCCCTGCTGACTTCTTCACCCCACTCTAGGTTTTTTGACTAAAATCAAGAAGCTTTTGGAGACAGTTTGCCACAACTGTGGAAAGATTAAGGCCAACACGGTTAGTCATCCCTACTGGGATGGCAAATCTTGAGTGGTTCACTTTGCTGACATGGATACCAGGCCGATTCCAAGTTTACCGAAGCCCTCCGTTTCCGTGATCCCAAGCGACGTTTCGATTCTATCTGGCGACTCTCCAAGGATGTCCTGGTATGTGAAGCCGACGCGCCTGCTGATGATGAGGAATTTTCGAAAGACTCCCAGAAGGGCCGCTCCCATGGCGGCTGCGGTAACGCCCAGCCCACTGTTCGGAAGGAAGGCATCTGTCTGGTTGGAACATGGAAGCCTAGCAAGGCCATGATGGAGGATGAGATGGCTCAACCGGAGAAGAAAGTCATCACTCCCACAATGGCGCTGAACATCTTCCGAAACATCTCCCTGGAAGATGTCCGCATCATGGGCCTCAGCAACGACTACGCTCGTCCCGAGTGGATGATTCTTACCGTCTTGCCCGTCCCTCCCCCGACCGTCCGCCCTAGCGTTGTAATGGGAGCTACAAGTGGCGCTCGCGGTGAGGATGATTTGACTTATAAGCTTGCGGAAATTGTCCGTGCAAACCAAAACGTTCAACGCTGTGAGCAGGAGGGAGCACCCGAGCACGTTATTCGTGAATTCGAATCTCTCCTTCAGTACCACATTGCCACTTACATGGATAATGACATTGCTGGTCAACCCACGGCGATGCAAAAGGGAAACCGCCCCGTGAAGGCTCTTCGCAGTCGTTTGAAAGGTAAAGAGGGTCGCCTGCGTCAGAACTTGATGGGAAAGCGTGTCGACTTCTCTGCTCGTACCGTTATCACAGGTGACCCCAATTTGAGGTTGGACGAAGTTGGTGTCCCATACTCAACCGCTCGTATTCTCA